CATGCTTCACAGTAGGTATGGTGTTCTTTGGATGCAACTCAGCATTCTTTGTCCTCCAAATACGACGAGTTGAGTTTTTACCAAAAAGTTATATTTTGGTTTCATCTGACCATATGACATTCTCCCAATCCTCTTCTGGATCATCCAAATGCACTCTAGCAAACTTCAGACGGGCCTGGACATGTACTGGCTTAAGCAGGGGGACACGTCTGGCACTGCAGGATTTGAGTCCCTGGCGGCGTAGTGTGTTACTGATGGTAGGCTTTGTTACTTTGGTCCCAGCTCTCTGCAGGTCATTCACTAGGTCCCCCCGTGTGGTTCTGGGATTTTTGCTCACCGTTCTTGTGATCATTTTGACCCCACGGGGTGAGATCTTGCGTGGAGCCTCAGATCGAGGGAGATTATCAGTGGTCTTGTATGTCTTCCATTTCCTAATAATTGCTCCCACAGTTGATTTCTTCAAACCAAGCTGCTTACCTATTGCAGATTCAGTCTTCCCAGCCTGGTGCAGGTCTACAATTTTGTTTCTGGTCCTTTGACAGCTCTTTGGTCTAGGCCATAGTGGAGTTTGGAGTCTGACTGTTTGAGGTTGTGGACAGGTGTCTTTTATACCGATAACAAGTTCAAACAGGTGCCATTAATACAGGTAACGAGTGGAGGACAGAGGAGCCTCTTAAAGAAGAAGTTACAGGTCTGTAAGAGCCAGAAATATTGCTTGTTTGTAGGTGACCAAATACTTATTTTCCACCATTATTTGCAAATAAATTCATAAAAAATCCTACAATGTGATTTTCTGGAAAAAAAAATCTCCATTTGTCTGTCATAGTTGACGTGTACCTATGATGGAAATTACAGGCCTCTCTCATCTTTTTAAGTGGGAGAACTTGCACAATTGGTGGCTGACTAAATACGTTTTTTCCCCACTGTAACTGAGGAATTTAGGGAGAGAAACTGTTAGGCTTGGAAGAGTGCATGTGTGTGTGTGTGTGTGTACTGATGGTCAGGAGAGCAGTTTTAAAGTGGAAAACTACAGCCCGCCTACAGAGAGGAGGGATTTTTGTATGATGTATGAGTATAAAAGATGGACTCTGAAATTGTGATGGCAGATTTCTCAATGAATAAATCTCTGACTATGCAGACCAGGACTCTGTCCGTTTCTTAAATCCAAAAGACTTACAACCTTTTGGGAGCCGCACAGAGACACTGAAATAGTTTGTTAAAGAATTCTCATAACAGAAACCCATTTCATGAAGCTCCCAACTAAATAGTTATTGTGCTGACATTTCTTCCAGAGCCACTTTGAAACTCGGTAGTGAGTGTTGCAACCGAGGACAGACGATTCCATTCTGTGGGCTTGCGTGGCCTACCACTTCATGGCTGAGCCGTTGTTGCTCCTAGATGTTTCCACTTCACAATAACAGCACTTACAGTTGACCAAGGCAGCAATTTGACGAACTGACTTGTTGGAAAGGTGGCATCCTATGACGGTGCCATGTTGAAAGTCACTGAGCTCTTCAGTAAGGCCATTCTACAGCCAATGTTTGTCTACGGAGATGGCTGTGTGCTCGATTTTATACACCTGTAAGCAACGGTGAAATAGCCGAAACCACTAATTTGAAAGGGTGTCCACATACTTTTGTATATATAGTGTATTTGAGTCTCTCTCTCACTAAGTGATTGTACAATGTACACACATATATTATGATTTCATTTTGTGAGTGTGTGATATGGGGATTAGATACATGTTTATGTCAACATTATAAAGAAAACCTTTTATAAACAATTCGCAACCTTGCCACGTTGATCTGAGCCTTGCTGTTGGAAAGTATCTGACTTTCAGCTGTTGCAGATGCACCAACCCTGACTTCACTCAATTTTCATCTAGTCGTTTGCTTTAGCCTTACCACTCAGTGCTGCTTGTGGCAACGTCATCTTGCTGAGTCTACCGTTAAATTATAAAGTCACTCTCACTCCAGATTCAGAAGCTTGAAAACCCCATTTGAAAAACCCCATTAAACTTAAACCCCATAAAATGCAGCAGTGGTTTGTAAAGAAAACCAACGACGAGGGACAAATCATACTCTACTAAATCGTTGAAACATGGCAGGATTGCATTATTCTAACACCTAAATACACTGCTCAAAAAAATTAAGGGAAGACTAAAATAACACATCCTAGATCTGAATGAATGAAATAATCTTATTAAATAATTTTTTCTTTACATAGTTGAATGTGCTGACAACAAAATCACACAGAAATTATCAATGGAAATCAAATTTATCAACCCATGGAGGTCTGGATTTGGAGTCACCCTCAAAATTAAAGTGGAAATCCACACTACAGGCTGATCCAACTTTGATGTAATGTCCTTAAAACAAATCAAAATGAGGCTCAGTAGTGTGTGTGGCCTCCACGTGCCTGTATGACCTCCCTTCAACGTCTGGGCATGCTCCTGATGAGGTGGCGGATGGTCTCCTGAGGGATCTCCTCCCAGACCTGGACTAAAGCATCCGCCAACTCCTGGACAGTCTGTGGTGCAACGTGGCGTTGGTGGATGGAGCGAGACATGATGTCCCAGATGTGCTCAATTGGATTCAGGTCTGGGGAACGGGCGGGCCAGTCCATAGCATCAATGCCTTCCTCTTGCAGGAACTGCTGACACACTCCAGCCACATGAGGTCTAGCATTGTCTTGCATTAGGAGGAACCCAGGGCCAACCGCACCAGCATATGGTCTCACAAGGGGTCTGAGGATCTCATCTCGGTACCTAATGGCAGTCAGGCGACCTCTGGCGAGCACATGGAGGGCTGTGCGGCCCCCCCAAAGAAATGCCACCCCACACCATGACTGACCCACCGCCAAACCGGTCATGCTGGAGGATGTTGTAGGCAGCAGAATGTTCTCCAAGGCATCTCCGGACTCTGTCACGTGCTCAGTGTGAACCTGCTTTCATCTGTGAAGAGCACAGGGCGCCAGTGGTGAATTTGCCAATCTTGGTGTTCTCTGGCAAATGCCAAACGTCCTGCACGGTGTTGGGCTGTAAGCACAACCCCCACCTGTGGACGTTGGGCCCTCATACCACCCTCATGGAGTCTGTTTCTGACCGTTTGAGCAGACACATGCACATTTGTGGCCTGCTGGAGGTCATTTTGCAGGGCTCTGGCAGTGCTCCTCCTGCTCCTCCTTGCACAAAGGCGGAGGTAGCAGTCCTGCTGCTGGGTTGTTGCCCTCCTACGGCCTCCTCCACGTCTCCTGATGTACTGGCCTGTCTCCTGGTAGTGCCTCCATGCTCTGGACACTACGCTGACAGACACAGCAAACCTTCTTGCCACAGCTCGCATTGATGTGCCATCCTGGATGAGCTGCACTATCTGAGCCACTTGTGTGGGTTGTAGACTCCGTCTCATGCTACCACTAGAATGAAAGCACCGCCAGCATTCAAAAGTGACCAAAACATCAGCCAGGAAGCATAGGAACTGAGAAGTGGTCTGTGGTCACCAACTGCAAAACCAGTCCTTTATTGGGGGTGTCTTGCTAATTGCCTATAATTTCCACCTGTTGTCTATTCCATTTGCACAACAGCATGTGACATTTATTGTCAATCAGTGTTGCTTCCTAAGTGGACAGTTTGATTTCACAGAAGTGTGATTGACTTGGAGTTACATTGTGTTGTGTAAGTGTTCACTTAATTTTTTTGAGCAGTGTACATTCGACTAGCCAACTTCTCTTTGCCCCCCACTCTGACTGGTTCTGGCTGGGTTCTGGGAGAAAGTGGTAGACCTGTTGACTAGCTGGAGATTGAGAGCAAAGATAATTAGAAAACTGATGGGAGTGTGCACTTGTGCTGTACATCCCCTCTCCCTGTCTGTCTGCAGCCACAGGATTGAATACTAGAACGACTGTCCCACAGGATTCACTCATGCAAACACTGAGGGGGGTTTCCCGTGTGTATCAAGAATGATCCACCACCCAAAGGACATCCAGCCAACTTAATAACTGCAGGAAGCATTGGAGTCAGCATTCCTGTGGAACGCTTTCGACACCTTGTAGAGTCCATCCCCGAAGAATTGAGGCTGTTCTGAGGGCAAAAGGGGGTGCAACTCAATATTAGAAAGGTGTTACTAATGTTTTATACACTCAGTGTATATCATTATTCAGATATACATTTGTCTCTTTAATTAGACTGACTCCTTAGTTATTTAACACTGTCAATATGACACCTTCAACACTTCTGTGACTGTATGAAAACGTATTATCATCAAATAGCCCTTTGACAGAGGAATGCAGACTGCTAAGAACAAGTTTCTCTAGGTATTTCATGGGTGCTGAAGTGCAACTGGGCACAAAGGTCACATCTCGTGACCTAGGGCCTAGTTTCTTTAGCACAGACAGGTACAATTACTGAGCTCTTTCAAAGCAGGAATGTAGTTATTGGAACAGTTCCTGGCTCTTGTTTTCAACATCCAGTGGTGTAAAGTACTTAAGTAAAAATACTTTAAAGTAGTACTTAAGTATTTTTTTTGGGATATCTGTACTTTAATATTTATATTTTTGCCAACTTTTACTTTACTACATTCCTAAAGAAAATAATGTACTTTCTACTCCATACATTTTCCCGACACCCAAAAATACTCGTTACATTGACAGGAAAATGGTCCAATTCACACACTTATCAAAAGAACATCCCTGGTCATCCTACTGCCTCTGATCTTGCGGACTCACTAAACACAAATGCTTCGTTTGTAAATGATGTCTGAGTGTTTGAGTGTGCCCCTGGCTAGCTGTCAATAAAAAATAATCAAGAAAATTGTGCCGTCTGGTTTGCTTAAAATAAGGAATTTGAAATCGTTTATACTTTTATTTTTGATACTTAAGTACATTTTAGCAATTCCATTTACTTGCAATACTTAAGTATATTTAAAACCAAATACTTTGACTTTTACTCAAATAGTATTTTACTGGGTGAATTTCACTTTTACTTGAGTCATTTTCTATTAAGGTATCTTTACTTTTACTCAAGTATGACAATTGAGTACTTTTTCCACCACTGTCAACACCTTACAGCTAACAGTTATGGATAAGCGTGAACACTGTCAGGCAGGAATTTGAGGGTTAACATCAATCTGTCAGCATGGGACAGACAACAAAGCAAATGAGAAATCAGATTTGTATTGATCTCTTTTATTCCAATGACATGAACGACTGATCACTAGTCAGAGGACAGACCGACACTAGGTAACTACTTAGCATGCTCACAGCACTGGGCCATGACATCAAAACATAGAGGCGGAGCTACAATAGATCATTCACTTGTATGTCTTTTTACCTTTGGAAAATAAAAAGCAAATCAGCACAACATTTTTTTCTCACAGATTTGCTGAGGGAGACTAGGGTGGCTATGATCCTGTGCTTTAGCAGACACCTTCTCCAGTAGCGTGTGTGCATTTACTCAATGTGTTTTTATAGTTTGTGTTGGTGTTGTGTGTTTGGTGTGTATAGTAAGCACATATGGTGTATGTATGTATGTGTTAGAATTTGGAAGTCAACAGAGCTTCTTTCTCCAGCAGCAGGTCTCCATATCTCTGTTGCAGCTCCTTCTCTCTCTCCTGCTGTCTCTCCACATCCTCCCTTAGAGCCTAGACGAAAAGAGAAAATTAAGTCCAATAAGCAACTTCACATGCCTCCAGTTTGTGTCAGCTGCAGTGTGTGTACGTAACCTGTTGTTTCTGTGATATGGCGGGGTGTGTGCGTGAGTACATGTACCTCTTGTCTACGGGGTATTGCGGTGTCTTCTTGTTTCTTCAACTCAGTGAAGGTGTGGAGCTCTGTAGCTGCCTGCTCAACCTGCTCCCACAGTTCACCATGCTGCTTCAGCAGGCCTACAGCACGGGACTGGTACCCTCCTAGTAACACCTACACACACACATACCATATAACTGCTCCCACAGATCACCATTATGCTTCAGTAGGCCTAGAGCACACAAATGGTACTGTTTAGAAACACCTTCAGACACATACGGAAAGAGTATCCATATATATATATATATATATATATATATATATATATATATATATATATTCACCTTGAGACGGCGCTCCAGACGAGCAGCACGACGGGCCTCACACGTCATATGGCCTCGGTTTATCTAGGAATACACAGATTCACACATCATAAACACACACATTCACTTACAGATACGTCATAATATACATCATAAGCCACCTAAGGATCAGCAGCTTCTGGTGTAAAAAGAACATGATCGTGTGTGCATGTGTGTGGTCTCACCTCTAGTTTCTTCTCCAGGGAGTCTATTCGGTCCTTCTTGGAGGCTAGGTTGGCCCTGGTGTAGCGGCTCTGGGCGGAGAGATACAACACCTGGCCGTAACACTCCTCCCACACCTGGCTGTAGGCCTCCATGGACAGGTCCCCGTGACCCATACCTGCCCTCACCACCTCCATCTCCTGGCTCAGCAACTCACTGGCCTGGTGGGAGGGGAGAAGACACACATTTGATCATTTACAAGCACATTTTCACATTGCGTGGATAGGGCTGTGTCGGTCATGAAATTTTGTCAGCCAGTTATTGTCATGCAAATAGACAAAGTCTCACAGTAATTGACCATTAAATCAACAAACATATTTAGCATCTCTAGGCCTCCACGCATACAAGCCGTTGATGCGCGTCTTTGAAACATCTACATTTAAAAAAGTCAATTTAATCCATTGAATATACACCATCACAATAAATCCATTATTTATTTTAGGCAGGTCTAAAGCAACATGATAAGAAATGTATTTCAGGAGAACCGAATACGAGTCGGCCTACTGTATGTTATCTGGCTAAGCGGTCCTCTGTAGCTCAATTGGTAGAGCATGGCGCTTGTAACGCCAGGGTAGTGGGCTTGATCCCCGGGGACCACCCATACGTAAAAATGTATGCGCACATGACTGTAAGTCGCTTTGGATAAAAGCGTCTGCTAAATAGCATATTATATTATTAATATTATTATGCCCCATGCCATAGGCTGTAGGCTTGTTCATTTAGCAGACAAGATCTGCTTATAAGTCCCCTGCCATTATTTTATATTATATGATTTTAATAATAATAATATAACTGAACTTTGAATTGAGTAAAATTGAAAGGATATTTTTTCCCTTGCCTCAGGCTTCATACCCTGTTCTCTCATCAAGTGATCATATTTTCACCCATCAGACTATTCTCAATTGAATCTTGTCTAACACTAATATGTAAAATTTGTTTTGATTTAGCATGGCCCATTAACAAATAGGTAGGAACAGGGGCATGGGAAAAAATACACGTCATCCATATGCACTCGAATAGCCCGGCTACTCTGGTTTTATAACGGCGCAGCTGAGAAATAAAAAACACAGTAGAAATTAATCATAAATAATGTATTGTCATTTTGGAGTCACTTTTACTGTAAATAAGAATATAATGTGTTTCTAAAAACTTCTACATTAATGTGGATGCTACCATGATTACGGATAGTCCTGAATTAATCGTGAATAATGATGAGTGAGGAAGTCAGAGGCATACATACCATACCACCCAAAAAATGCTAACCTCCCCCGTTATTGTAATTGAGAGGTTAGCATGTCTTGGGGGTACGATATTTGTGCATTAACTCTCACTCATTATTCACGATTACCTCGTAATCATGGTAGCATCCACATTGTAGAAGGGTTTAGAAACATATTCTATTCTTATTTACAATAAAAGTGACTCCAAAATGACAATACATTATTTATGATTAATTTCTATTGGGCACAAAATAATCTGAAACAACCAAAACAAACAGCAAATGTGTCCAACAAGTTTGTAGAGACAAGCTTGATGTAATCATTGCATGCTAGGAATGTGACCAAATACTAAACTTTTGACCACTTTAATATACAGTGCATTCGGAAAGCATTCAGACCCCTTGACTTTTTCCACAATTTGTTATGTTACAGCCTAAAATGGATTAAATTGTTTTTTCCCCCCTCAATCTACACATAATACCCCATAATAAAGCAAAAACATGTTTAGACATGTTTGCTAATTTATTAAAAATAAAACAAATATCACATTTACAGAAGTATTCAGACCCTTTACTCAGTACTTTGTTGAAGCACCTTTGGCAGCGATTACAGCCTCAAGTCTTCTTGGGTATGACGCTACAAGCTTGGCACACCTGTATTTGGGGAGTTTCTCCCATTCTTCTCTGCAGATCTTCTCTGTCAGGTTGGATGGGGAGCGTCACTGCACAGCTATTTTCAGGTCTCTCCAGAGATGTTAGATCGGGTTCAAGTCCGGGCTCTGACTGGGCCACTCAAGGACATTCAGAGACTTGTCCCGAAGCCACTCCTGCGTTGTCTTTGCTGTATGGTTAGGGTTGTTGTCCTGTTGGAAGGTGAACCTTCGCCCCCGTCTGAGGTCCTGAGCGCTTTGGAGCAGGTTTTCATCAAGGATCTCTCTGTACATTGCTTCGTTCATCTTTCCCTCGATCCTGACTAGTCTCCCAGTCCCTGCCGCTGAAAAACATCACCACAACATGATGCCGCCACCACCATGCTTCACTGTAGGGATGGCGCCAGGTTTCCTCCAGACGTGACGCTTGGCATTCAGGCCAAAGAGTACAATCTTGGTTTCATCAGACCAGAGAATCTTGTTTCTCATGGTCTGAGAGTCTTTAGCTGCCTTTTGGAAAACTCCAAGCGGGCTGTCATGTGATTTTTACTGAGGAGTGGCATCCGTCTGGCCACTCTACCATAAAGGCCTGATTGGTGGAGTGCTGCAGAGATGGTTGTCCTTCTGGAAGGTTCTCCCATCTCCACAGAGGTTCTCTGGAGCTCTGTCAGTGACCATCAGGTTCTTGGTCACCTCCCTGACCAAGGCCCTTCTCCCTCGATTGCTCAGTTTGGCCGGGCGGCCAGCTCTAGGAAGAGTCTTGGTGGTCCCAAACTTCTTCCATTTAAGAATGATGGAGGCCACTGTGTTATTGGGGACCTTCAATGCTGCAGACATTTTTTGGTACCCTTCCCCAGATCTGTACCTTGACACAATCCTGTCTCTGCGCTCTACGGACTATTCCTTCGACCTCATGGCTTGGTTTTTGCTCTGACATGCACTGTCAACTGTGGTACATTATATAGACAGGTGTGTGCCTTTCCAAATCATGTCCAATTAATTGAATTTACCACAGGTGGACTCCAATCAAGTTGTAGAACATCTCAATGGAAACAAGACGCACCTGAGCTCAATTTCGAGTATCATAGCAAAGCGTCTGAATACTTATGTCAATATCAGTTTATTTCATTTTTATAAATGTGCAAACATTTCTAATAATCTGTTTACGCTTTTTCATTATGGGGTATTGTGTGTAGATTGATGAGGATTTTTTAGAATAAGGCTAACGTAACAAAACGTGGAAAAAGTGAAGGGGTCTGAATGCTTTCCGAATGCACTGTAGATGTTGGCAAAATACCTCCATGCACATTCTCAATGCAAAAATAGCTGCAGATTAGGAGCAGAGTGTGGAGGGGTATGTGTGTGTGTCCTCAACTTGCAGCGGGCAGCCATATTTGCTGTCACTCAGTCAGAATGGGCATCAGCATTTCATCTTTTTTTCCCTACCCATTTTAGTCATTTAGCAGATACTCTTATCCAGAGCGACTTACAGTTAGTGAGTGCATACATTTTTTATTTTTCATACTGCCCCCCCCGTGGGAATCGAACCCACAACCCTGGCATTGCAAAAGCCATGCTCTACCAACTAAGCTACATCCCTGCCGGCCATTCCCTCCCCTACCCTGGACGACGCTGGGCCCATTGTGCGCCGCCCCATGGGTCTCCCGGTCGCGGCCGGCTACGACAGAGCCTGGATTCGAACCAGGATCTCTAGTGGCACAGCTAGCACTGCAATGCAGTGCCTTAGACCACTGCGCCACTCGCTACCCTTGCCCCGCCTGTTAAGATATGCACATTCATAGCTTGATAGCAAACGTCTTCGCCATGTGATTTATCATAGTAGCAGGCACCAGCAATCTAAATGATCAGACCGAAAACATGAGGAAAACTGATCGGGTGAAATTATGACGCAAGTGGATGAGAAATACAGAGCAGCAAGATCAACGTACAGCCCACACTTCTCTTTAAAAACAGCCAGTTTAGTTATTTAAACTATGTAGAACCTCGCACATGACTGACTGACATGAAAGATGCGTGCTGGCACCCGATCACGGATAATTACAAAAAAATACTCCGATCATAATCGTTTTCTGGAAATTGCCCATATCCATTACGATACTTGTTTTGTCTGACTACTCGACACACCCCTAATGGAGACCATTGCGATGAAGTGGAAACCGGTTGGGAAACACTGGCTAATAGGTGTGTGTTTGTTTTACCTGTGCCAGATCCTCATTGCTGATTGGCTGGTAGGGGTGTCTGTCCAGGTGGGCGATGTGTTCTGCGTTGTTGGAGGTGGAGGCAGGCCCTCGTTGTTTGCTGCGCTGTGGTTGGATAAACAAAGGATGTCAGTTCTGCCCCAAACGTAGCTCTGTGTGTGCATGTGTACTCCTACCTGTTGGTTGGCTGGTGGGTGGTGTAGACAGTCAAAGTGCAGCATGGTGATCATCTCTTTCTTGATTATCTCCTCAGCCTGCTGCAGCTCTGACAGAGGATCTGTTCCCATCGGACGCAGGATGGACTCATTCACCTACACACAATTCTGCATTAGTATTGTCGCTAATGTCAGGGCCGGGAAGGGGAGAAGGTGATGCAGCACTGGGACTGTGTGTGAGAGAGAGTGTGTGCTTACCTCTGATGGTCTGGGTAGAGTCCTCTGTACAGCAGTGTGTCTCAGCTTCAGCTCTTTCTCCCTCTCTGCATCCCTAACAGCCTGCAACACACACATAATTAGACATATGTAGATAGAATAGTCTACAGTAGAGCTTTATGAGTTGTATGCATGCGTGCATGTGACTATGAGTTACAGTATACCTGTTTGCGTAGCTCTATCTCTGAGGCATCCTCTATGTATCCGGTCTCTGTCTCCATTTCCTCCAGTTGAGTCTCTGCGTTTTCTGGTAGAACAATCTCAAAGTCATTCTTGGGGACCGGCAGCGACATCAGACCCAGCTTCAGCTGCTCCCTCGACTCTCGTTGCTACACACACTAAACAGTTACACACAAACACAGAAGAACTCATACAAAACATTAGCCAACTCAATAGTAGTTTTTGTTACCAGATGTTTAGCGTAGGCAGGATCTGCTAGTTGTTCCTCAGTATTGATGTTGAGTTTGTCTCGTAGAGGGGTGCGTCCAGGGGTTACTCCAGGGGTCACAGTACCAGGTCCTTTAGGGGTTAAACCTCCCTGGGGGGTCATACTGCCCTCGGACCCCGGACCAGGGGTTCTACAACAACAACATAGTATGTGTCAATAGTCAGTACAGAATTAGGTAGCTGTTTTGCGTGTGTGTGGATGGCTTGCGTGTGTACCTGAAAGGTGTGGTCAGTACAGTATTAGGTGTCTGTACTGCCTGTCTTTGGGGTGTGACTCCTGAGAAGTCACTCTGGTGGAGAGGAGTGTTCAGACCTCCTTTCAGAGGAGTGTCTACGTTAGTCAGAGCCATAAGGTTCTGGGCCTCCTAGAGAGATATATATAGAGAGAGATACAGGTAACTGCCAAAATAAAGGAAACACTTGAATAAATGAGGGATACAAAGAATATTGAAAGCAGGTCCTTCCACACAAGTGTGGTTCCTGAGTTAATTAAGAAATGAACATCCCATCATGCTTCAAGTCATATAAAAATGCCCAGCTGGCCATTATTTTGGCTCCCATGGCTAGAAGAGATTTCAGTGACATAGAGGGTCTCAAAGGAGCATAGGGGGTTTAAAGGGTGCGTATGTGTCTCAGTCACCAGATCTCAACCCAATTGAACACTTACAGGAGATTCTGAAGTGGCGCCTGAGACAGCGTTTTCCACCACCATCAAATTATGGAATTCCTCGTGGAAAAATGGTGTCACATCCCTCCAATAGATCTCCAGAAAGTTGTAGAATCTATGCCTAGGCGCATTGAAGCTGTTCTGGCGGCTCGTGGTGGCCCTTTATGTATAGTGGATAGCTTGCTTCATGTTATATCCCGAGAGACAGAAAAAAGGGAGAGAGAATGTGTGTACCTGTAGTATCTTATCCTGAGCTGCGGGGGTCTTGGGGGTGCGTAGCCCAGTTGCCATAGCGCTGTTGGTGAGGCTGTATTCTGATAGGAGGGCTGAGGAGGCAGAGTTAGTGATCCCAGACTCCTCAGCGGTCTGACGAGCAACTTCACTGGCCTGACCCAGCTTCACCACCTCCTCCAGCTCCGCATCAGAGATCTACACACACACAGCGTCAGAAAGACACAGCATCAAGACACACACACAACAGACAGCGTCAGACACACACAGTCAAACTTCACTGGCCTTACCCAACTTCACCACTTCCTCTAGCTATGCATCAGAGATGAACACACACACACACACAGCAGTGTTACCTGCGGTGCAGGCAGCACCAGTTTGCTGCGTTTCTTGGTGAACTCTGCTACTCCGCTGGTCTGCAGGATGGCTGACGGAAGATCACTCTCCTTCTTCTTCTTGATCTTCTGTCTATCTCTCTTCCTCTCCCTCTCTTCCTTTTCACTGAGGACACAAATAATGTCAGACACACACAGGTCTCTCCTCTTCACATTCAAATGGAAAAAATATCTATACACAGCCCAACCACATCACACATGTAGCATTACATGCTGACTACACAGGACACGCAGGTTGAAATATCAAAACGAACTCTGAACCAACTATATTAATTTGGGGACAGGTCGAAACACATGAAACATTCATGGACATTTAGCTAGCTAGCTTGCTGTTGCTAGCTAATTTGTCTTGGGATATAAACATTGGGTTGTTATTTTACCTGAAATGCACAAGGTCCTTTTTCTCTTGGATATTTGTAGAATGTGTACCCATTTTGAGGCCAACAAATTTGTGTGTTATCTACTCCGACAATTAATCCACAGATAAAAGGGGAAACTTAGTTCGTTTCTATTAATCGCTACTCCTTCAGTCTACTTCTGACTTTATATGGCAGTTGGCAACCAACTTTAAGGTGCATAACCACCACCAACTGGACTGCAGTGTGGACCTCAGTTCAGCTTTCAATCACCCACGTGGGCTTTCCTCTTGGCTCCTAAAAACCAATGAGATGGGAGAGGCAGGACTTGCAGCACGTGAAGCTTCAAAAATAGAACCAAGTTCTATTTTAGCGCCTGCTACGCAGACGCTCGTTGGCACGTGCGAGCAGTTTGGATGAAATTATTGAATAAAATGTATGTGTACATTTATTTTGCAACGCTTGTGTACATAACGCGAGCGGTGTGGTCAGCATGTTAGCCCAGTAGAGTTAGTGTGTGTGACTGACTTGCGTAGCTCTCCGTCCAGGTGTTGTTGTCGCAGGCGTTTGAAGTTTGGTTCCAGACCATCGTAGAGCTCCATGCTGGTGTCATAGAAACCCTGGAATCATAATGAACATTAGCACCCAATACTACATTGATGTGTGTGAAATGTCTGTGTGTCTGTAAGATGTCTGTGTGAAGTGTTACCTGAGAAGGCTTCTTCTCGAAAGGGATCTCAGCATTGTAGTCCACTCCTCTCTTCTTCTTCCTCTTCTTCTGGGCATCGATGCCTGCTGCCCTCAACTCCCTGCGCTTCTGTAGAGCAGCCAGACGTCTGGGAGGGGGGGGAAGAGGACGTGTGTTTGTCAGGGTAGTACATTTTCTTTATTTGGTGGTAGCACTGAGCAAATTCTGAAATGTCTGTCTGAAGGTTATGCTGAACGTTATGCAGCTACAAGTGCCACAGCATAACAGTTCGCAAACAATTACAAATCCTGCATTTGTTGTATTCACATGACACAGCTCGATTGAAACAGATGTGTGCTGGTGTGTAAAAGGTGTATGTGTCTACCTGGCCTCCTCCAGCTGTTTCTCTCTGGCTTTCCTCTTGGCTTTCTTCCCCTGAGTGTTGGCCAGACGAGCTCTGGCCTCAGACAGCATCTCCAGCTCATCTATACACACACACACACACACACGTCAGGTATGGTCTCATTTATTTATTTTTACCATACAAGTTGACTGCACAGCAACGACCCGAGGAAAAGTTGCACTTTGTGTACCTTCGTCCATGTCCACAGGGTCAGGCCTAGCGGGCTTGGTTTCAGGGTTGGGGTCGATCTCTCCAGGTTTCAATTTCCTGGGATCGTCAGCTGTATCTTCCTCATTGTCCCTCTGGGCCGCTTTGTCTCTAGAAGAAACACATCAAGAAGAAAAAGCATAAGAACACTCCAATAAGTCTTCTCTGAACACAAAGAGAAAGTGTGTTTGTGTCTTACAGTAGGAACTCGTAGTGCTCCAGACACTGGGCAGCGGTGCGTCCTATGATAGGAGCAATGGTCCTCCACTGGGTCGGCATAAGCTTGGCCAGATGGAGTAGCTTCTCCTCTTCCTCTCTGGACCACTCGGTTTTCTTAATGCTAGGATCCAACCACTCATACCTACACACAAACACAACACATTATATACACACAGACCTCTTTCCACACACACACACACACACACACTCACAGAAACCACTCGGTCTTCTTTGGTGTTGGGGCTCAGCTTCTCATGCATGCCACACACAGACACGCACACACACAGACTGACCAGCGGGCCTTGCACTGTTTCGCAGACTTGCGGTGCAGCAGGGAGGCAATACGAGACCACTGATTCTTCCCATATTTCATCACCGCTGCCTTCAGGATCTCATCCTAGGAGAAAGAGAGGGAGGGGTATTGTTTTATTGATTAATTGTTTACTGATCCCAGAGGGAAATACAGCTTCAACTACAGACAAACAATTTTGAAAGATAGACAGCACAGACAGTGTTAAATGGATACTTAAGGATTTTGGCAATGAGGCCCTTTATCTACTTCCCCAGAGTCAGATGAATTTGTGGATACACTTTTTATGTCTCTGTGTACAGTATGAAGGACGTTAGAGGTAGTTTCGTGAGCCAATGCTAACTAGCGTTAGTGCAACGCCTGGAAGTCTATGGGTATACAGTGAGGGAAAAAAGTATTTGATCCCCTGCTGATTTTGTACGTTTGCCCACTGACAAAGAAATGATCAGTCTATAATTTTAATGGTAGGTTTATTTGAACAGTGAGAGACAGAATAACAACAACAAAATCCAGAAAAACACATGTCAAAAATGTTATAAATTGATTTGCATTTTAATGAGGGAAATAAGTATTTGACCCCCTCTCAATCAGAAAGACTTCTGGCGCCCAGGTGTCTTTTATACAGGTAACGAGCTGAGATTAGGAGCACACTCTTAAAGGGAAGCAATCAATCAATCAGATTCCAAACTCTCCACCATGGCCAAGACCAAAGAGCTCTCCAAAGATGTCAGGGACAAGATTGTAGACCTACACAAGGCTGGAATGGGCTACAAGACCATCGCCAAGCAGCTTGGTGAGAAGGTGACAACAGTTGGTGTGATTACTCGCAAATGGAAGAAACACAAAAGAACTGTCAATCTCCCTCAGACTGGGGCTCCATGCAAGATCTCACCTCGTGGAGTTGCAATGATCATGAGAATGGTGAGGAATCAGCCCAGAACTACACGGGAGGATATTGTCAATGATCTCATGGCAGCTGGGACCATAGTCACCAAGAAAACAATTGGTAACACACTACGCCGTGAAGGACTGAAATCCTGCAGCGCCCGCAAGGTCCCCCTGCTCAAGAAAGCGCATATACAGGCCCGTCTGAAGTTTGCCAATGAACATCTGAATGATTCAGAGGAGAACTGGGTGAAAGTGTTGTGGTCAGATGAGACCAAAATCGAGCTCTTTGGCATCAACTCAACTCGCCGTGTTTGGAGGAGGAATGCTGCCTATGACCCCAAGAACACCATCCCCACCATCAAACATGGAGATGGAAATATTATGCTTTGGGGGTGTTTTTCTGCTAAGGGGACAGGACAACTTCACCGCATCAAAGGGACGATGGACGGGGCCATGTACCGTCAAATCTTGGGTGAGAACCTCCTTCTCTCAGCCAGGGCACTGAAAATGGGTCGCGGCTGGGTATTCCAGAATGACAATGACCCAAAACACACGGCCAAGGCAACAAAGGAGTGGCTCAAGAAGAAGCACATTAAGGTCCTGGAGTGGCCTAGCCAGTCTCCAGACCTTAATCCCATAGAAAATCTGTGGAGGGAGCTGAAGGTTCGACTTGCCAAACGTCAGCCTCGAAACCTTAATGACTTGGAGAAGATCTGCAAAGAGGAGTGGGACAAAATCCCTCCTGAGATGTGTGCAAACCTGGTGGCCAACTACAAGAAACGTCTGACCTCTGATTGCCAACAAGGGTTTTGCCACCAAGTACTAAGTCATGTTTTGCAGAGGGGTCAAATACTTATTTCCCTCATTAAAATGCAAATCAATTTATAACATTTTTTACATGCATTTTTCTGGATTTTGTTGTTGTTATTCTGTCTCTCACTGTTCAAATAAACCTACCATTAAAATTATAGACTGATCATGTCTTTGTCAGTGGGCAAACGTACAAAATCAGCAGGGGATCAAATACTTTTTTCCCCTCACTGTATACCCATAGACTTTCAGTCATTGCGCTAATGGTAGTTAGCAATTGCGCTAACGCTATTGCACGCAGAGACATACAAATGGAAAAATTCAGCTAGTGAGCTACTTTTAGCAACACTAGTATATTTACACACAGGGTGGCTCATTAATGGGATGCAAAAAAACTGAACGGTCCATTGTAAATCATGGAGTTGAGTTCAGTCGGCTAGCCCTGGAGGCAGCTCTGCAGAGTGGTCACTGGCTGCCACAGCCACAAAATCTGATTTTAAACCTAACCGCACAGCTAACCCTAATACCTAACCTTAAATTAATACCAAAAAGCTAATTTTTCTTTTCATAGATTTTTACGATATAGCCAATTTTGACTTTACAGCTGGCCCATCTAGCATAAATCGCTCAGTTATGCCTCCAGGGCAAGATTAACGTCAACCTGCTGCTCGCGGTGAACGACTCCAGGATTTTAGGAGTCGAAGTAGTGGACTCTTGCTCGACTCCCAAAATACACAATGGCTGCGCACACGCCACCTCATTATTGCAGTCTTACTAGGAAGACTAATATTGCATTCTAGGGAGGACTGGCATGAACATGATGTTGCCCATTTGCTTGGCAATTTATAAAAGGCCTATTCTATTTGAATATAGAAGGTGATGTTCAGGAACTAAAATATTTCAGTGAAGTTTTTGCTCTGTGTAGCCTTAACAGATCCCAGGGGATGATGCGGCACACTACGCCGAAAAGCCTACTCTTTGCCGTGTTATATAGCCTAGCCCTGATTGGACGGGACTAGTATTAGTAGAGATGTTGGTTATCTAAATACACTACTCAAAAAAATAAAGGGAACACTAAAATAACACATCCTAGATCTGAATGAATTAAATAATCAAATACTTTTTTCTTTACATAGTTGAATATGCTGACAAAAAAATCACAAAAATTATCAATGGAAATCAAATTTATCAACCCATGGAGGTCTGGATTTGGAGTCACCCTCAAAATTAAAGTGGAAAACCACACTACAGGCTGATCCAACTTTGATGTAATGTCCTTAAAACAAGTCAAAATGAGGCTCAGTAGTGAGTGTGGCCTCCACGTGCCTGTATGACCTCCCTACAACGCCTGGGCATGCTCCTGATGAGGTGGCGGATGGTCTCCTGAGGGATCTCCTCCCAGACCTGGACTAAAGCATCCGCCAACTCCTGGACAGTCTGTGGTGCAACGTGGCGTTGTTGGATGGAGCGAGACATGATGTCCCAGATGTGCTCAATTGGATTCAGGTCTGGGGAACGGGCGGGCCAGTCCATAGCATCAATGCCTTCCTCTTGCAGGAACTGCTGACACACTCCAGCCACATGAGGTCTAGCATTCTCTTGCATTAGGAGGAACCCAGGGCCAACCGCACCAGCATATGGTCTCACAAGGGGTCTGAGGATCTCATCTCTGTACCTAATGGCAGTCAGGCTACCTCTGGCGAGCACATGGAGGGCTGTGCGGCCCCCCAAAGAAATGCCACCCCACACCATGACTGTCCCACCGCCAAACCAGTCATGCTGGAGGATGTTGCAGGCAGCAGAACGTTCTCCACGGCGTCTCCAGACTCTGTCACGTCTGTCACATGTGCTCAGTGTGAACCTGCTTTCATCTGTGAAGAGCACAGGGCTCCAGTGGCGAATTTGCCAATCTTGGTGTTCTCTGGCAAATGCCAAACGTCCTGCACGGTGTTGGGATGTAAGCACAACCCCCACCTGTGGACGTCGGGCCCTCATACCACCCTCATGTAGTCTGTTTCTGACCATTTGAGCAGACACATGCACATTTGTGGCCTGCTGGAGGTCATTTTGCAGGGCTCTGGCAGTGCTCCTTCTGCTCCTCCTTGCACAAAGGCGGAGGTAGCAGTCCTGCTGCTGGGTTGTTGCCCTCCTACGGCCTCCTCCACGTCTCCTGATGTACTGGCCTGTCTCCTGGTAGCGCCTCCATGCTCTGGACACTACGCTGACAGACACAGCAAACCTTCTTGCCACAGCTCGCATTGATGTGCCATCCTGGATGAGCTGCACTATCTGAACCACTTGTGTGGGTTGTAGACTCCGTCTCATGCTACCACTAGAATGAAAGCACCGCCAGCATTCAAAAGTGACCAAAACATCAGCCAGGAAGCATAGGAACTGAGAAGTGGTCTGTGGTCACCACCTGCAAAACCAGTCCTTTATTGGGGGTGTCTTGCTAATTGCCTATAATTTCCACCTGTTGTCTATTCCATTTGCACAACAGCATGTGAAATGTATTGTCAATCAGTGTTGCTTCCTAAGTGGACAGTTTGATTTCACAGAAGTGTGATTGACTTGGAGTTACATTGTGTTGTTTAAGTGTTCCCTTAATTTTTTTGAGCAGTGTATTATGCAAGCATGTGGGTTATTCCAGAGTACAAGTCTCAAATGATTAGTTTTTTCCAAACAGCCCCTTGAAACAAAAAAAAACGTCATTCAATTGACTTATGACAAAAGCCTGGGGCCTCATTTATCAATCATGCGTAGGCACAAATCTGTAAAATCAGTAATTTCTTTCTTTAGAGAAAGTGAAACCATTGTTGAAATACTATAAAAGACATAATGGAAAATCAAATGAGAGCCTGGTCTTGCGGTTTGAAGATTTGGCACATGCTGCATTTCGCAGAGCGCGTTTTTAGAGACAAGTGGGACTTTTTCTACAGAAAGTACAGATTGGCTCATCAGATATATTTTCCCAAAACCAATCTTAGAAGATTTTTGCGAGGATTTAAGACCTACTTTTAAAAAGCCAACATTCCATTCCGGTGCACATCCAAGTGCTCTCCACCCTCTGGTTTTAGGCAACGGGCACTTTTCAACGGGAGCTTGCCGATCGGCATCTCATAGCCCTCGATGAGCCAAAGTTTTGGATGCAATAATCAGCTAAATGAACAGTAACACATACAATTTCCATACACCATCACACAACAGGTTGAAGTCAAGAGGGGTTTCTTTGCCATGATGCCATCAATGCGTTCCCAAATACCAACGGAGCAATAGACTGCACCCAAATTGCCATAATATTACCATCCCAAAACTATTTCAACTATGTGAACAGAAAAGGCTTCCACTCTTTATGGGCAGGTGATAAGTTATGTGATGTGCAAAAGACGCTGCTGAACGTTGTGGCCAGGTGGAACTCTAGACTCGTTCATTCTTCAAAACAGCAATGTTGGCCTATACGCCTACAGTAAGGAGCTGTTGAGGATGGATGGCTTATTGGTGAGTGTTGCCTAATCATTTGAAATAGGCTATATTTGCCATTGCTAAAGCAACTTGTATTGTCCTAATGGTACTCTCTTTGTAGCCATGTTTTTATTTTTACTGGTCAAGCCACAACTAAGCTAGCCAAATAAAACCTTTAGGTTGTACTCAATCTGACACTAGCGCCTCTATTTCAGTCTCGGAACAGTTATGTTTTGTATCTTTTTTTGGTTGCGCCCTTGTATTTCATGGTGCAGCGTTGTATATTCCCCACGGGCTTTAAAGGTATGATTTTAATAATAATAAATAATAATAATAAGCCATATAGCAGACGCTTTTATCCAAAGCGACTTACAGTCATGTGCGCATACATTTTTACGTATGGGTGGTCCCGGGGATCGAACCCACTACCCTGGCATTACAAGCGCCATGCTCTACCAATTGAGCTACAGAGGACCATATATGGTTAATCAGGGGCGTTGGGAAATGCAAACAGCATAGGTCATGCATGAGCACTGAGAACCATTGGTATTTATCAATGGTTATCGCCTGCCGGTGTGCGTATGACGCTAGTAGGATTGTTTGATAAATTACACTATGCGTAGGACCATTCTAAATTCTGTTCGTAAGTAGTATTTTAGAATAGTTTCTACACAATATTGATAAATGAGGCCCCTGGAGTGGAGGTTTTTATTCTAGGCGTTTAGATATTTCAAAGTCAACTCTAGACAATAATAGGCTAAATGGAAAACTTGTGCTTGGCTGCCAAATGTATAGGAGTCCCCATAATATTTAAATTGAGGAAGTGTGATCAAAAATCATTATTTTAGTGATCAATGGTAGACGTCCTTCCTAATTCAAATGCCCACCATTCTGCTGATTTGAGCTGCTGAACCGTATTTGCAACACTTGGATGAGAAAGTGAACTTTCCATTTCCAAAAACTTTAGTTCAGTGGGGAATCGGGGATGGCCAGCTTTGTAATCTATTGACTAGGACGGGGTTCCCCAACTGGCTGCCCATGGGCGATGATTTTATTTAGCCCCCCAAGTTGAGCTAAAAAACACCAGCAAATCTATTCCAAGTGATTTTCTATTTGGAAATCTGTTCCAAAGTATTCTCACGCATAATAGAGAGATATATGTGATCATATATAGTTGAAGTCGGAAGTTTACATACACCTTAGCCAAATACATTTAAACTCAGTTTCACAATTCCTGACAATAATAATCCTAGTAAAAATTCCCTGTCTTAGGTCAGTTAGGATCACCACTTTAATTTTAAGAATGTGAAATGTCAGTATAATAGTAGAGAGAATGATTTATTTCAGCTTTTATTTATTTCATCACATTCCCAGTGGGTCAGAAGTCTACATACACTCAATTAGTATTTGGTAGCATTGCCTTTAAATTGTTTACTTGGATCAAACGGTCTGGGTAGCCTTCCACAAGCTTCCCACAATAAGTTGGGTGAATTTTGGCCCATTCCTCCAGACAGAGCTGGTGTAACTGAGTCAGGTTTGTAGGCCTCCTTGCTCACACACGCTTTTTCAATTCTGCCCACAATTTCTATAGGATTGAGGTCAGGGCTTTGCGATGGCTACTCCAATACCTTGACTTTGTTGTCCTTAAGCCATTCTGCCATAACTTTCTAAGTATGCTTGGGGTCATTGTCCATTTGGAAGACCCATTTGCGACCAAGCTTTAACTTCCTGACTGATGTCTTGAGATGTTGCTTCAATATATCCACATAATTTTCCTTCCTCATGATGCCATCTATTTTGTGAAGTGCACCAGTCCCTCCTGCAGCAAAGCACCCCCACAGCATGATGCTGCCACCCCCGTGCTTCACGGTTGGGATGGTGTTCTTCGGCTTGCAAGCAACCCCCTTTTTCCTCCAAACATAACGATGGTCATTATGGCCAAACAGTTCTATTTTTGTTTCATCAGACCAGAGGACATTTCTCCAAAAAGTACTATCTTTGTCCCCATGTGCAGTTGCAAACCGTAGTACGTCTTTTTTATGGCGGTTTTGGAGCAGTGGCTTCTTCCTTGCTGAGCGGCCTTTCAGGTTATGTCGCTATAGGACTAGTTTTACTGTGGATATAGATACTCTTGTACCTGTTTCCTCCATTATCTTCACAAGGTCCTTTGCTGTTGTTCTGGGACAGATTTGCACTTTTCGCACCAAAGTACTTCCATCTCTAGGAGACAGAATGCGTCTCCTTTCTGAGCGGTATGACAGCTGCGTGGTCCCATGGTGTTTATACTCGCATACTATTGTTTGTACAGATGAACATGGTACCTTCAGGCGTTTGGAAATTGCTCCCAAGGATGAACCAGACTTGTGGAGGTCTACCATTTTCTTTGAGGTCTTGGCTGATTTTTTTGGATTTTTCCATGATGTCAAGCAAAGAGGCACTGAGTTTGAAGGTAGGCCTTGAAATACATCCACAGGTACAAAGTAGATGTCCTAACCGACTTGCCAAAACTATAGTTTGTTAACAAGAAATTTGTGGAGTGGTTGAAATACGAGTTTTAATGACTCCAACCTAAGTGTATGTAAACTTCTGACTTCAACTGTAAAGGTATGCAAGGTTTGAAATTATTATGTTTTAGTCAAATATTATGTTTGGGCTTCTTGCGGTCAATTTGCAGTATACAAATTATTTGTAATTATGTTCCGCCCCCTAACCATCTGCTCAAGAAAAAGGAATGTCTAGCGGCTTAATCTAGTTGATGATCTCTGGCCTAGGGCATCAACAGCCAGGGTTTCATTAAATAAGCTATAGGCACCATACTTTTTATTGCACATTTACTGCCTAATTAACCTGACTCATTTGGTGATGTTTAACTTAAATTCACTGGCACAATGTAGAATATCTTCGCCATTCTAATTGATATACTTTTGGCGAGTCAAGACATTGCGAGATACAGTTTACCAAGATATAGCCTTTGCACACTGTTCCAACTGTCTGGCTGCCCCTCATTTCTCTCCCTCGTGGACTCGCCTGCTCTCTCTTTGCTAGGAAAGATACGAGTGTGTGTTCAACTTTCGGTCTGTTGCGTGTAGAATAGCCTACTCATTGATATCCCCTACTTTTGTGACTTGCAAGAAATTGTAAGCAAAGTATTTGCGAAATACAGCTTTTGATGACCAATGCACGGTTCTGACCGTTTGCCTGGTGACCGACCTGCCTACCTATGCCTGGCTGTGCCCCTACCCTCAGCTCGCTCTTTCTTTGCTATGAAATATGTAAGAGTTTGTTCTCGGAAGTAGCCTGCGGCAAATATTCAGTCTCCATCCATTGTTGCAAAAATACAGACTCTTAGGAGTCGATTCCTAGCAGAATCGAAACTTGACACCAATAAAAAATGGGAGCCGACAGGCAAATAATCGATTATTTTGTTGTTAAATCTTCACCAACCGTCCCAAACACCTGCAAAGTTTAAATATAATTGTATTTAACTTCTGGCACCTCGGACTCTAACGTTTTTTTTCAACCATATTACGAGCAACGCTAACGTTATTGTGTAAATAACGTTAAATACACCAGCGCTGCTATAAGCAGCTAACGTTACTAGCTAGCTACCTTAAACTAACTAATGTTGTTAGCTAGCTAGTTGACTAGCCAACTAATGTTAGCCAACGTGATCCAGTGAATTACACGCTGTTGAGTAGCTAAATCAATACATGTACATGGTAGCTAGTTAGCCTGGCGTAAGATTTGACTTACCTAGCTAAAAGTATTTGAATATTAGTTAGAAACTAGCTAGCAGCACACCGTAGCGTTAGCCATGCCAACTTACCTCGGTGTTTCGCCATACACCCCCCTTGATCATGATACGCGGCATCTTGGCTGTTGTGTGTTGCTACCCTTCAGGTAGTAACTATAAAGAAACAACCAAGATACCACAAAATAAAACAATACGAAGAGTTGGACACAAAATTTAACTACAATGTACGAACACGGTATGTTTTCAACTTGGACAGTAATGCAATATGGCGGCCACCGGAAGTGCGCAAACTATTGTGGCTCCATTAAAATAGAATTACTACTTCTTCTTCTTCTGTGCATTTTATATGGCGGTTGGCAACCAACTTTAAAGTGCATTACCGTAACCAACTGGACTGGAATATGGACCAGAGACACTGAAGGTCTAAATCCTACCCAATAATCTCGTCTCCCTAAGGAAACGAAATACATAATTAAATACTACATCCCCTGAAGAGTTCCCCAGCAGTTCACTTAATACTGGCTCTTCAACCCCATTACTCCTCAAATCTAATAACAATCGCTCCCTTTCTCTCACATATTTCTGGCCCTGAAATAGAACATGTTCCACTGTCTCCATCTCCTCCTGACAATGATCACACCTCCCAGTCAGATGTTTCCCCACCACTTTCAATGTACTATTTAGCCTTGTGTGTCCCAGTCTCAGCCTTGTGACTACACTTTCCTCCCTTCTCTCTTGGCCTGAGGACCTCCCTGCCCCCACCTTTTCCTGGATCTTATACAGGTGCCTTCCCTTACTCTCCCTGTCCCACAACTCTTGCCACTTATTTTTACCCACTGTTCTTATTAATCCCTTGGCTTCTTATTAATCCCTTGGCTTCTGCTTTACTGATTGACAATTCCATCTCAACATTAGGATGTTTAAGAGCCTACTTGGCAATAATATCCACTTCCTCATTCCCCTCTACTCCCACATGAGCTGGTACCCAGAGGAACATCACAAATACCCCCATCTGTTTCACCCTATACAAACACTACAAAACCTCATACAATACATCCTGTCTGCTCTGAGACACACATTAATTTAAACTAATCAGTGCTGCACAAGAGTCAGAGCAAATGACTACCCTGTCTGGCCTCACCTCCTCCACCCACTCTGCAGCCAATAGTATGGCCAACAACTCCATTGTGTAAACAGATAAATTATATTTTTGTCACTGCCACCTTAAACTCAGGAACACTAAAAGCTGCTCCTGTCCTCCCTGTTTTAGGGTCCTTAGATCCATTTGTGAATATATTCAAGAAAGCATAGTATTGTGTTCTTAAATGTTCACTTACAGCTGAAGCTACTCCTTCCTCAACATCTCTTACCCTCTCAAGCAACCCTAGATCTATCTCTGGTTGAGGGAGAAACCAAGGTGGGATAGCAGGAAGAACCACAGAGGGGCTAAACTCCCTCCCAAACAACCTCATCTCTCTCGCCATGCAATTGCCTATCCACCCAAAGCTTGTATTCAGATTTTGTTCATGTTCCCAGCACTCTAGGAGCACCTTTTTTGTAGGATGTGTAACTTTATGTCCTTGTAGATTTACCCAATATGTCAGGGCTAGGTATTGTCTTCTTAACTTTAACGGCATCTCTCCCAACTCTACCTGCATCGCTGCCACCGGGGAGGTCCTGAGTGCTCCACAACATATTCTTAGGGCTTGGGCCTGGATAACATTTAGATTTTGTCTGAGCTGCTGATCCATATGCTATACTTCCATAATCCATTGATGACCTTAACAGCGCTATATATAGCATTTTCAATGCCATTCTATCTGCCCCCCACTCCATTCCTGACAAGCAATGCATCACATTCAATATTTTCTTTCCTTTGACAACTACTCTGTTAATATGCTCCGCCCATGTAATTCGAGTGTCAAACCAGACCCCCAGGAACCTAAACCCTCCCACCCTCTCCAGATTCCTTTCAGATTCCTTCCATACAACTTCAAGTATATTTCCTCCCCAACCTTCCTTTTAGAAAAAAACACAGTCTGTGTTTTCTCAACTGAAGACTTGAAGCCCCACCTGAGGGACCACTGCTCTACTTCACTAATCACTTCTTGAACTCTTCTGGCTGTATGGGTAATATTTCTCCTTCTCTTCCACAGCGCTCCATCTTCCGCAAACAATGACCTCCTAATATCAGGTCTCACCTGAGAGAATACATCGTCAATCATAATGGAGAACAACAAAGGACTAATGACACTTTCCTGGGGGGTACCATTATCCACCTCATAGTTTTCTGACATAGAGCTCCCCACCCTCACTTGTATTGATCGCCCAACAACAAAATCCTTTATCCAATTAAAAACCCTTCCTCCAACCCCCATGTTATCCAGCGTGATAAGTAGGTGTTTCTTCCACATCATAACATAAGCCTTCTCTACATCAAAGAAAACGAATACCACCACCTCCTTACCTTCGTGTCTTAAAGTAATGATGGGCTGTCGTTTCTCTTTGCATATTTGAGCTGTTCTTGCCATAATATGGACTTGGTCTTTTACCAAATAGGACTATCTTCTGTATATCACCCCTACCTTGTCACAACACAACTGATTGGCTCAGATGCATTAAGAAGGAAATAAATTCCACAAATTAACTTTTAACAAGGCACAGCTGTTAATTGAAATGCATTCCAGGTGACTACCTCATGAAGCTGGTTGAGAGAATGCCAAGAGTGTGCAAAGCTGTCATCAAGGCATAGGTTGGCTACTTTGAAGAATCTCAAATATAACATATATTTTGATTTGTTTAACACTTTTTGGGTTACTACATGATTCCATATGTGTTATTTCATAGTTTTGATGTCTTCACTATTATTCTACAATGTAGAAAATAGTAAAAAATAAAGAAAAACCCTTGAATGAGTAGGTGTGTCCAAACTTTTGACTGGTACTGTATGTGAGATGTCAACGCTATCGGCCTATAGCTTGAAGGACTAGTAGGGTCTTTCCCAGGTTTCCGTATTGGCACCACTAGCGCCTGCTTCCAACTTCCAGACAGTTTCCCTTCCTGCCACACCGTATTGTAAAGGCCCAATACTTTCCCTATTGCAGTGTCATTTAGATGAGCCATCATGATGTAACACATCTCATCCTTCCCAGGAGATGTTACCCTAGTTTTAGCTAATGCTCTCTTCATCTCAGCCAATGTAAAGGGGCCATTCAATGTATCCCCTTTCATCTCTCTCTGATCCAGGACCCCCGGATGTTCTCCTCTGACCCTCTCTCTCCAACGCTGCCCCTCTTCTGTCAGATTATTTGAGCTGTTCACCTTCACAAATGCCTGGGCTAACATCTCTTCCTTCTCCATTTCTCACTGCAACAATCTCCCCACTTTTCAGCACAGGGAGATCTGCATAGAGTCACATAGAATTACATTTGATTTATAGGACCTCTATTGTTGCTTTTCGACTGTTACACTAGTCACTAGTGTATACACCCTTATCAAAGACAGTACACCCCTTTCCCTTATGCTAAACTAGGGCAACCTGGAATTAGCGGTAGACATAACATAGTAAAGGTAAATCGGCATCCTCCATTTACCATGATATGTTACGTTTCGTATGATATGTATTAATTTGTGACTGTCCATAATCCTTTTAGAATATTATGTTATGAATTACTATTTGTATGATGTTACAAATTACAATTTGTACAATACAGTGAGGGAAAAAAGTATTTGATCCCCTGCTGATTTTGTACGTTTGCCCACTGACAAAGAAATGATCAGTTTATAATTTTAAATGGTAGGTTTATTTGAACAGTGAGAGACAGAATAACAACCAAAAAATCCAGAAAAACGGATGTCAAAAATGTTATAAATTGATTTGCATTTTAATGAGGGAAATAAGTATTTGACCCCTCTGCAAAACATGACTTAGTACTTGGTGGCAAAACCCTTGTTGGCAATCACAGAAGTCAGACGTTTCTTGTAGTTGGCCACCAGGTTTGCACACATCTCAGGAGGGATTTTGTCCCACTCCTCTTTGCAGATCTTCTCCAAGTCATTAAGGTTTCGAGGCTGACGTTTGGCAACTCGAACCTTCAGCTCCCTCCACAGATTTTCTATGGGATTAAGGTCTGGAGACTGGCTAGGCCACTCCAGGACCTTAATGTGCTTCTTCTTGAGCCACTCCTTTGTTGCCTTGGCCGTGTGTTTTGGGTCATTGTCATTCTGGAATACCCATCCACGACCCATTTTCAATGCCCTGGCTGAGGGAAGGAGGTTCTCACCCATGATTTGACGGTACATGGCCCCGTCCATCGTCCCTTTGATGCGGTGAAGTTGTCCTGTCCCTTTAGCAGAAAAACACCCCCAAAGCATAATGTTTCCACCTCCATGTTTGACGGTGGGGATGGTGTTCTTGGGGTCATGGGCAGCATTCCTCCTCCTCCTAACACGGCGAGTTGAGTTGATACCAAAGAGCTCCATTTTGGTCTCATCTGACCACAACACTTTCACCCAGTTCTCCTCTGAATCATTCAGATGTTCATTGGCAAACTTCAGACGGGCATGTATATGTGCTTTCTTGAGCAGGGGGACCTTGCGGGCGCTGCAGGATATCAGTCCTTCACGGCGTAGTGTGTTACCAATTGTTTTCTTGGTGACTATGGTCCCAGCTGCCTTGAGATCATTGACAAGATCCTCCCGTGTAGTTCTGGGCTGATTCCTCACCGTTCTCATGATCATTGCAACTCCACAAGGTGAGATCTTGCATGGAGCCCTAGGCCGAGGGAGATTGACAGTTATTTTGTGTTTCTTCCATTTGCGAATAACCGCACCAACTGTTGTCACCTTCTCACCAAGCTGCTTGGTGATGGTCTTGTAGCCCATTCCAGCCTTGTGTAGGTTTACAATCTTGTCCCTGACATCCTTGGAGAGCTCTTTGGTCTTGGCCATGGTGGAGAGTTTGGAATCTGATTGATTGATTGCTTCTGTGGACAGGTGTCTTTTATACAGGTAACAAACTGAGATTAGGAGCACTCCCTTTAAGAGTGTGCTCCTAATCTCAGCTCGTTACCTGTATAAAATACACCTGGGAGCCAGAAATCTTTCTGATTGAGAGGGGGTCAAATACTTATTTCCCTCATTAAAATGCAAATCAATTTATAACATTTTTGACATGCGTTTTTCTGGATTTTTTTGTTGTTATTCTGTCTCTCACTGTTCAAATAAACCTACCATTAAAATTATAGACTGATCATTTCTTTGTCAGTGGG